CCAAAGTGATCATTCACATTTCTTAACTAACAATTTTACCCAAAAAAAACAAAAAGAATTAAAAGAAGAAATTAGTGCATATCAGTTATACCTCTAAAAAATTAAAAGGAAAATAACTCTAAAATTACATTATTGCAATAAATTCTCATTTTATTTGGGACTTATTTAGTTGGTGGTAATGACAATTTCTTGGTTCAACTATAAAAATAAGCTAAGATTATAAAATTTTCATAAAAAGTTGAGAAAAACCTTCACGTCTAACTTTCCTTTTACATCAGCAAATAATCAAAGAATTCCTATTTTCCTTAAAAAAATGAAAGTAATACATGTCCCTCATTCATTTATTAATTTAGTAAAAAATTATAAATATTAAAGCTTAGTTATAATTGCTTCCTATAGAAGTTTCTTTTAAATTTAACATGTTTGTATGATTTCACCACAAAATGCCACTGCTACTAACCAAACATTGCCTCAGAAAACCCAGCTAACAGATAGCTAGATCTCCAAAGTTCCTATTAGTTAATCTGTTTAGGGTTCATAACTCACACACACACATACATATACAAACACGTATGGAAGAAAAAGCTAAATACCTTTGCATTGAAAAGTGGTGCAGGACTGGAACTTGAATCATTTGTTTCCTCATTTTCATGGCATAATCTAATGAACTTTGGCAAATACTGCAATTTCAAGGACCGTAGCTGGGCTAGTTCAAAATTTGGATCTTCTTCTGCAATATCAATATCATTAGTGGCACCTTGCCTCTCCTCTTTAACAAACTCTAACATATCACTGCAATCTGTTACTCTAATTTCTTCAAGTTTGAGAAGCCGTCTAGCTATGGAGAACGGGAACAAACTTTTGAGCTGCCCACAACTTTCAACCGTTATAGTTCTTAATCTTTTGAAAGATGTTTCTCCAAGTCGACCATGACATATCTTCACCAAATCCTTTAAATTTCGAAGATATAGTACTTCTAAGGAGGAAAATGCATGGGAAGGAATTTGTCGCACTGAGCTAATGATATGCTGAATCTCATGAGCATTTTGGACATAAAGATACTTCAGTTCCTGAAGACCTTCGGCATCTAACTCAGAAACTATATTCTTGACACCCTTCAGTTTCTCTAGATGTAGTTCTTCTGTTTTCTTCATCAACATGCAAATAGAATGTTCATAACTAATGCTTGTATTCAACTCTAGTTTCAATATTTTTGAGCTTCTGAATGATCTGTCCCAACGGCTCCACACATCTCCAATGAAGATCTTGTATCTTTTCAATCTTTCAGAGAACAAATCCTCTGAAACAAGCTGGACATCACATGCATGCAAATCTAGAGCAACTAGGTAATGTAAATTCTTCAACTCGACAAGGCTAGCATTTCTTTGATTTCCAAGTCCGTTAGCATCCCATTGATTGAAGCTGTTTTGCAGATCCAGTTCTTCTAGCCTGGACAAACTCTCTAAGACATGGGGTCGTATCACTTTGAGCTTAGTACAATAGCTCAAATCTAAAAACTTTAGTTGGGTCAGATGTCCAATTTCCACTGGCAACTCTTCAATATCACTTCCTGAAAGGCTAAGGACTTTCAAACCACTCAGCTCTGCAACAATAGCTATATCTTTTATAACACTTCGATTCATATGTAATGTATGGAGGTTTTTCAGGAGGCAAATTGATGGAGGCATGGATGAGAAATGCATCCTGGTAAAATCCAAGACTCTGAGATTTGGCATTCCCCGAAAAAAATTGTCTGGAATTTTCATAGAAGGATTCTTGCTAGCTAAATAGAATAAGGTAAGTTGCGGACATTCCAGCTCATCAGGGAGCTCACTAATATTAGCATGTCGTATACTAATCCATTTGACATCTCCCATGGCCTCCCTATCAGACCACTTTTTGGGTATGTTATCATGTGTTAATATTAACCCATGGTTGTCCTTTGAGGCAATGGATATGGCGACATCAAAGACAATATCATGCAATTTAATGCGAGTATCGCTATTCCCATCAAGCAACAAAGAACAAGATTTTAGATTACTAACCAATGTTAGTAGTCTGTCTCGTGCTTCTCCTATTGTGCTGACATTCTGAAATAAGCTCAAGCCAATACCATATGTTAGCACGTCTTCTATATAAGCATTTTGTCCCAAGCAACTACAAAGCAAGAAAGTTTGCTTCAGTTCTTCTCTTTCTAAATATTTGTAACTCAATTCAATTGCAGAATAAACATTTGCAGAGATCCCCGTGAAGTTCTCTAGAGAGGGCTTTTTTAGTTGTAGCAGAGCATCCCTCCATTCATAAGATCCCTTTCCTCTCAAAGCCTTGCCAAGAGATTGAATGGCTAGTGGTAGCCCAGCACATTCTTTGGCAATCTCCATTGCTGTAAGCTGCAAGCCAGAATTTTCAATTTCATCACCAACTATCTTCTTCAAAAGCTCCCATGCTTCTTCATCTCGCAATGGGCGAACATCAAAATTTTGATTGGTATCCATGTCACGTGATAAGACATCGAGAAATCTTGATGTGTGGAGAATCTTGCATTGCATCTGTTCTTCACCAATTGAACTTGCCTCATTCTTTTTTTCTTCAAAAGGAATTCCAAGTTCATCCAAATCAAGCCTCGACCAGATGTCATCTAAAATCACAAGAATCCTCTTCTTGTTCTTCAGATATGCCTTTAGTTGATTTGCTCTCCCAAATTCAGTCTCCCCATGAAGCTGTAGATCTAATTTGTCAGCAATTTCTCCTTGAATTCTTTTCAAGTCTGGATCCTTTGTCACAGAAGCAAATACAATTGCATCGAATAAATGGGCTTCCTCAGCTCGTCTGGCAACTTCTTTGGCTAACATGGTCTTTCCAACACCAGGCATCCCGTAAACACCTATCTTGTCAGTGCCAGCCCTTCTCAAGGCCTCCATAACACGGTCCAAATCAGGCGTTCTGGACTCGAAGTCCTCAAAACCTTTATTAACTGGTGCTGTAGATTTTGGAGGACAGTAGAAATCTGGGATCTCGAATTTGTCAGCTTCTTTTAGGAGTCGAGTAACATCCACCAAATACTCCTCCACTTTCTTGCTGATTTGGTAACGTGCCCTGGCATTAGGACAGAGCCCTAGGAAACACTTCTTCTTGGCCTTGTCTTCATCATCCTCTAACTTCATCTCTCCAATGTACTTCTCTGCAGCAGCCAGCCAAATCTTGACGTTCGGCAGAGCCTCTTCCCCTCTTCTGTCAGCAGCTTCCATAAATTTCTGCACACTCTCGCTTTCAGCCACCAGCTTCTTAACTTCTTTCTCCAGATTCTTTAAATTAGTCTTCCATTTGAACACACGAGCTATTCTGTTCCAGATTGGATTGAAAATTCGATCAACCAGCAGGTTCTCTGCAACTTTGCCAGCAATAGCAATACCAACTTCGGTGCCCGACATTTTCCACTTTTTTTTTTTTTTGGATTATTGGAAAATAGACATAAAACAATACACAGATAACAGAGGTACAGAGACAAGAAAAGAACCACCAAATGAATGAAATGGTGAGAATAGCAGAAGTGAGATAAAGAGGTTTGTTTAACTGGACAGAATCAAAGTGAATATGAAAGGAACTGGGTTCTTTTTTGTTTTTTTTTTTTTGGTCAAGAAATTTTCAGAAATGATGGGCAAAACAATTTGGAACAGACACTTTGCTAATAATTCAAATATCTATCAAAAAAAGATTTTTTTAATTTGTACATTAAAGATATAGATTAAAAATTTTTAAAAATAAAAAATAATATTTAATTTATTAATTATTTAATTAAATTTATTCATATGATATCAACACTAAAATTAATATTTATTT